ATCGGATTCGAGGGCGCATTCCGAAAACGGGACTGATTAATTTCTACCCTTAATACCTAAAGTTGATTGTCTGAAAGTTTTTTATTCGAAACATCAGCAACTGTGAACGAAATAGTAAGAAAGGCTAACAGCTGAGTAAAATCGTTCGTTCACGATTCAAACAATGGAGCTTGGAATTTAAAGTACATCTTTTCAATTTTGCTCTGTTCGTCTTTCTTCACAATCAATCCTTTTTCAAAGAGCCTTTGTCTTTGTTCACAATTTATGCCTCAGTACCGAAATGGTTTTTTTCATAGGAGTCCTTTATGTAGCCCATTACATTCACGGCCGATTCCAGCATTTTTACGTCTAACAATAATTTTGAGAAAAAATTCGAAAGATAAATTAATTTAAGGCTTTGATGGCCACTCTTTTGTAATCCAGCGCAGTTTAGCTTAGCCAATTTTACGACATTCCGGACTTGCAATAGAATCTTAACATTGCAATATTTCCCATGAAGGAAAAAAAAAATATCGCTGGAGCCGAAAAAAGACCTGCTTTGCGTATTCGTAGACTTTGAACTCTTTTAGAGTGAATTTGGTTTCTGAAAAAATTTAGGTACTCATTGTTGGTGTTGGCCTACCAAATGATTCGAACTTCCTATTAAGGAAAATAAACTCTTATAAGAGTTTCTTGTGTGTGAAAGTTCTCAAGGTTGTCTGTAAAACGAATACCGTTGAAAAAAANAAAAAAACTACAATTTTTGATCATTATCAGATCTTTTTTGCGTGTTGAACCTACTCGCGACGAGTTGATCGCGAGATGTATATCGTCGTTTTTTGTTCTGTGGTGGTTGAAAAGAACGATGAATGGGTGAATTGATTTGTTCAAAGGATATATTGAATGTCTTCAAGTGGAAATGTCAAAAATCCAGTCGGCTTACTACTAGTGCTAGTCCTGTCTCACTCGCTGCTTATCGTATTTTGCCGTTACTACAGTTGATGAATTATTTCGATCTTACAAAGGTTTGATATCGCGTTTATTTACATTGTCTTTTTAATGATCCCCGTCTGAATGGCAGGACACCGCTTTTTAGACAATTTTTATATTCATATTTATGTCCTAGAAGGATGGATGGGGCGTGGAAGTTAATAGAAAAAAAGTTGAATTAGCTACAAAAGATATTAGGGTAAAAAGCTCCCGTATCATTCGGATTTGTCCAACCTCGATGGGGCATGGAAGGACATGTTTCCTGCTCTCTACTATAAACCAGTGGCCGAACTATACGATTTTTTGTAGGGAAAGCCCACGATTGGTATGTTGCCCATGAGTCAAGTGCATTTCCCACACGCTTTCCTTATGTTCCCATAAATTTTGAATGAATCTAATTCTACTGAAAAACTTTCCTTTGGATATTCACATTGAACTAAACATTTCTTTTACTTTTGCATGCTCAATATTAAGGTAGTTTCCTTTTGTAATTGCCACCTTCAATGAATAATCAATGTGAATGGCTATATTCCGCGATTATAATGGGTGTACAGCAGATTCATTTGGTTGTTTTCTGTCAGGTGATAGATGGACGTAAACAGGTGCTGAGTGTGTCCTCTGCGTATGTTGACCCTTCCAGCCCAGTGCGGTTAGAAAAGGTTTTCTGCATGGAGCAGAAGCTGGGTTTCGATGGAAGGATGCCTTTGACAAGGTTTGGTTCTTCTCCATTCGATGGTGCCTTGAATCAGGCTATATGACTAGCAGCGCGTTTCTGTTGTCGATGTTTTGTGAGGCTAAATGAGTCAGGTCCCTTTTATGCCTCCCAATATGTTTACAACAAGCAGCAAGGCTGTCATTATGCCATCCATGTTTGATTAGTTCCCGAGTTTTGCCAATTTTCTTCACGGAGCTTCTCAAGCTCCACTTATACGCTTACTCTTTTTACTTTCCAAAATTACTCTCAGGCTTTGACTCAGCTTGAAGACCGATATTTCAGACTTGCCTGATTTTATCTTGTCTATTTTGTCGGCATATGCATTCCCGTAGATGACAGGTGCCAATCAGCTTTTTTTGCATCTTGAAAGCCTCGAGAGCAGCGATAGTGAGAGTGCGACAACCGGCTTGAGTGGATAACCGCTTTCGCTTCATCGAGCAAAACTCCCCTCTCCCAAGGGATGGAAGCGATGTCACGACGGTGTTCGAATTGAATTAATTCTCAGCGCGAAATGCAGGCCATCTGCTCCAGCTTCGTCATGACTTACAGCTTCTGCATATCAATGGACCACTCATCAGGAAACTACATCAGGAAAGTGCTCATGTGCTTTATCTTTTCATTATTCTTTTCTTTACTTTTTTCCCTTTTTTCTTGCCTGTTTTTTTTTTTGAGGCGGTAAGTGGTGAGTTCAGTGGAGTAGTTTATGACGCCGAGGAAGTCGACAGAATATTCTATTAAAGAAAAAAGTTTAAATGGAGTAATAGAAATGCTTTTCCTGTTGGAATCATTGCTCTTTAGAAGATTTTGGCTTTGAAAAAGATTCTCCCTCAAGGAATTTTAAGCATAAGTTTACCGGTTTCTTTATGTTTCATTTATAACTCTGAAGTAATTGACTTCGGGAATAGAGTGGGGGAGCGATAAGTAACTGCTTGTGAACCCAATTTGATCTTTAGATATTTACTACACAAGAGAACATGAGTTCATTCGCGTGCGTCATGGGTACGTTCAGCAGTGTTACCCGACGCGATACACGCCCAGTCATTTGTGTAATGGAACTTCCGGGTACGCCCTCCTGAAGTTACGCCAGTCAATATAACATGTTCAACGACCTTCAAAATATGCAGTAGAACGTTTCTTAACCTCCTGGACGAGCTACAGAACTCATATCTAGCCGATCTGCATTGGGAAATGGCAAATTTCGATGGAAGTTTTTCTTTCTTATGGCGTAATGCCTCTGACCACTCATTTTCATTTCGACGTAGTTTTGATATCAGAATGTTTATTTTTCTCTATGGGCTCGGTATAGGGCGACCATTTGCAATACTTTGTAATTCTGTTTTTTTTTTTTNGGAATAATAGAAATGCTTTTCCTGTTGGAATCATTGCTCTTTAGAAGATTTTGGCTTTGAAAAAGATTCTCCCTCAAGGAATTTTAAGCATAAGTTTACCGGTTTCTTTATGTTTCATTTATNTTTTTTTTTTTTTGAATAATAATTTTTTGCTTGCTTTTTTTCGACGGTATTTTGTTGATGTGTGGTGTATTACCGGATTACACCATATTACACGCTACATTTCTGTGTTTATCCTTATTCTACTACTAACTTAAAACAAACAATAGTTAGGTACAAAGTTTTTTTTTACAGTTTTTTGTTTTCGCTGAGAGACCCTGTTCGACCACTTCTTCCACCAACTCAACAGTTTTCGTAAGGAATAAGTTTTCGCTAGAGTTTGAAAGTCTTTGCATAATTAGTATTCTTTTAGATACGTCATGATTTCCTTTGAATGCGCTTATTTCCAAGAAAAGATCTTTCCCGTTTGTTGGTGAAATTTCCCACTGTAACGGTAATAGGAATCGTACTTGTTTTACTCCTACACCAGGAAGTTGGTGAGCCGTTTTGTTTACTGTCAAGGCACACATTCTCTACTTTAACAGTTTTTAGGACAAGGCAAAGGTGTAATGAATTACTTCGTCAATATTTTTCCAGGTAACTTGAAATTTTTCGTTGCCGAACGGGTTGAATAGAAATCCTCAAGAAATTTCGTATTTTGAGAACAGCGAAAGTTCAATAAATACTCCATTTTTTGGAGTAATACCGTTTTTGATTTTTTATGGCTAGTGGTACCTGTAGGTGTTACTCGCTGTATAGCCGCAAACACCACATTACTTCCTGTAACTCAGAAATGTTCCAATTACTGTTTTACGACCAGCATTATTGTAGGAAGTGGATACGTAATGGGCTTTCGTTCTTGTGGTGTTGTCAAGGAGGGATGGAAAAGGCTGGGTCGTAATTTCATTTTTATTATTACCATGTTTGTCGTAGCGAAAGCGAGCGCCTGATATGACGATAAACGAGCGTGTTTGTTGACTCAAGAGCCCAAATAAATACTGAACCCATGCGTTACTGCTCGTGGGTGCACGGTTAAAATGTCTCGTGAGTTTGTGGCCAATCTTTTATTAATAGCGTTTTTCATATGGAAAAAAATTAACGAGCTGAAATTTGGGAATTCGTAAGATTGTGCCGCTTGAGCGCTTTCTGCTGCTTGAGCTAATTTAGGCTGTCTTGCATATATTTTCTCTGTTCTTTTTTCTTTTATTTACTTCTTGTTCTTATTGCAGGCTTATTTGTTCTCTTTGAGCAAATTGAATTAAACTTGATTTTCCTTCTGAAAGTATTTGCCAACAAAACTATTGCAAGGTTTTCGTCTTGGGTGGATTCGTTTTGTACGAGTTCCCGGTGGGTATGCGAATTGCGATTGCATCTTTCTTTGGAATTTTGTCCAACCCTGTTGCTTTACTAGTTTTTTTGATTGACAGATTCGAAGAGTGGATATATCTTCTCTTAGCCATTTCATTGTTCCATTCTTGTTCAAAAAATCGCCTGAGCAATCTGTTTTTCTTTCACTCACTATCTTTTTCCATTCTGTCCGCAGTAAGAGTCAGCACACTGCTATGAACATTCATTTATTCATAAACCTTTTACCGTTCTTTGTCTGCACTTAGGTAGACTTTTGTCGAAATGGTGTCTTGTGACGAAACGAATCCAATCCATTTAGAGTTTTCTGTACTTTTGTTTTGTTTTGGCAGTCCATCTATTCGTCATAGTTTCCATTAGTCGTGGCACTGAAGTGCCATTGCTGAAACCCTTGGCTTAATGAGATTTCCTCGGAACTACTTCCACATCGGAACAGTGTTCGTGTTCGTTCGTTATTCGCGGTTCGTGTCGATCGCTCTTCGCTCTTTGTTTTTCGTGGTGGGGTGGTCTTCCGAATTTTCATCTTTTTCCTGTTTCAGACCAATTGTTGTATACGCGAAGCAATGCAGTGGACTGTCGCGCTTGAGGGCGGACCTCGCCGCGTCAACCACGCTGCCGTTGCGATCGGCGATAGGGTGTGGTTTTAGAACTTATTTTACATTTGCTATTCATGAAGGAATTATTCGGGTGAAAAAGAACAGATTAGCACGATACTGAATTCATATAGGGAGTGGAAAAAAGCTCATTCGTATGTGCCGTTGCCGCAAACGGGTAAAAAATAGTGATGAAGAGTCCAAAGTAATTCGACAGTACATTTAACCATTTTAACAACAGCATGACATACTCGCTTTGAAGTCCTACCAAGCAACAGTTGCAATCCAAGCATCTGAATTTCTTGCCTGATTGCGAACTATTTGGGTAATACACGTGACAGCTTATTAGCCCATGTTTGGAGAAATCGGCAGTTTGTTTGGCTATAAACGCTTCTAGGCTTTTTATAGAAACGCTTACTCATTTCTGTAAAAAAAAAACGAGGTTTTATATGAAGAGTATCTGCTAGAAGGTGCTCAAATAAATCCCGATTGGTTATACGACGGTAGCGTACGAGTCGGAACGAACTTTTTTATCGCAATCAGTCTCTCGCCGTTAGAGAAAGTGATAGCGAACGAGATAGCACCGTATTGACGCTCCTAGCTTGGTGACAGGTGGGAAGGTTATCAAACCTCGTGCGCGCGGAGTTATCAAATCCTTGAGTTGACAAATTTTTTTTTTCTTCGGGGAGAGTTCAGATGAACAAAGTTTATTATTTGCTCTCAGTAAGCCCCATGCTTTCTTTTGAGAAGTTGTTGAAGGCGGGGCTAGAGGCAGTAATAATCCCTCTCGTTTTCTCCATAATGGGAATTCAATGGCGGTTCAAACTGGTGGTTTAATGAGGGGTAATACCGACTTTAGTTACACTTTCCCCCAAATTAAGTCCTTTTCAATGAGACAAGATTCAATAGTGAAGACGTAAAGTTTGGCAATCATTCTACTTTGTAACTACTTGTCAATCGTTCTGTAAGAGACTAGCCCATCACGTCTAACACAGAACTTCTTTTCGAACAGAGAACGATTCATCTGAAGGCTATCGTTTGACTTTTGATGACTGTCGTTCCAAACCGGACGAATGCCAGACTGTAATATCGTCTTTGTACTTGAGTTGTTCCATTTGGGAATGGAAGTTCACAGAGAAGTGAACTGAACCTTTGATTTATGAATATAATCACTCTCTGCACTTGGGAAGTAAAGGTCAAAGTCAGGGAAACTTGTCTCTCTCCCATGATATTTATCGTATGGTGTCGCGTCAGTCATGTTGTAATAGCCTTGATTTTATCGAACTTGTTGGGGAGTATAGCGTGTATAAGGGTGAAGATCATATGGGAAACGAATACACCCGAATGAACTTTAGTCTGAGTTGATTATAATCGTTCTGGATGGTTGCCAATGTGGCAGTCACTGACATGCACGGAGTGTTGCTATCACCAGAGTGAGCAAAGCAAACATTACGATTGATAGCACTGAAAATCTGTTAGGAACTGGGATCTCACTGAGAAAGAGAAAATTGGTCGCTGATTTTGTTTTACCAGTAAAACTGAACCTTAAGTAGGCGATTAGATTGATTGGTATGAGCATCCCGTGATTGAATTTAAAAATCAATCGATGAGCTAAATCCCACATTTATGAATCGACTATATGTTTTTTCTTCAATGTGCTAAAGGTATTTTTTCAGATTTTTTCCTTTGGTGGCTACTGCAGCGGTGAGACGGTCGACCCTGAGCAACCAATTGATATTCACATGTTAGACACTAGTGAGTGTTTTTT